TTCTGATGAGAAATCTGCTGTTAATATTAGTGAAACAATACCATACACTTCTCCCTTGCTGCTTTCCAGATTTTTTGAACTTTGGCAATCTGATTATGACATATCTCAGAGTGAACTTTTTTGAGTTTACCCTACTTGGAATTCATTGAGCTTCTTGAATATGTAGATTCATGTTTTACATCATCATTTTCAGGCATTATTTCTTTAAGTATTCTTTCTGTCCCTTCCTATCTCTCCTTTCCTTCTCATACTCCCATTATGTATATGTTGGTACACTTGATGGTGTAACACAGGTCTCCGAATTGCTACTTCCCTTTTTTCATTCTTATTTTGCTTTCTGTTTATATATTGAATAATCCCCTTTGATTTGTCTTCAAGTTTTCGGAATCTTTTGCCTACTAAAAGTTGCTATTGAATTGTATTAGTGAATTTTTCATTTTAGTTATTGTGCTTTATAGTTCCAAAATTTCTATTCGTTTTTCCCATAATTTCTATTTATTCATATTCTATTTGCTGGTATATTCTTCTCATATTTTCCTTTGTTTCTTTTGACACGACTTCCTTTAGTTCTCTGAACATATTTATGGTCACTGGCTTAACATCTTTGTGTAGTAAGTCCAATACTGTGTCTTCCTCAAAGATCATTTCTATTGACTGCTTTCTTCCCCCTATCTATGCAATATACTTTCATGGATTTTGTATGTCTCATCAACTTTTTTGAAAGATGGACATTTAAAATAGTATAATACAGCAACTCTGGAAATCAGAGGAACAAAGCCTCTGCTTCTTCTGAATAAATGGAAATAATGCCTATCTCATCAAGATATTTTCAGATTGAATGAGTTATGCATAGATAGCCCTTAGTATAGTGTATATGTCATAATAATCCCTCAATAAATGATAATACAAGGAAGTAACCAGAAAGCTCCCATCTCTGAACAGACTGGCTCACTGAAGCTACATGAGTATGTTTCCGTTTTGAAAAACAAGGTGTGTTTCAAAAGTGAGAGTATTGCCTGTATGCAGTCTTCCATCTCTCACCACAGAGATATTTCCCAAACTGATTCACATGCATTAATCTCTCTCATGTATGCCACATGCTACCCTCCTATAAATCACAGACTTCTAAGAAACATGTCATTCACTCACTCATACATGTATTCTCATGATCAACATTTATTGGGTATGTTACAAATGCCAGGCACTAATCTTTTTTTTTTTTTAAGATTTTTAGAACTCGTTTATTTGAGAGAGAGGGAGTGAGTGAGAGCAAGAGAGAGAACAAGCAGGGAGAAGAGCAGAGAGAGGGAGAAGCAGACTCCCTGCTAAGCAGGGATCCTGACCTGGGGCTCAATCCCAGGACTCTGGGATCATGACCTGAGCTGAAGGCAGAGGTTTAACCAACTGAGCCACCCAGGTGCCCCTACACATGCTGGGTGCTAATCTTCACATTGGTAGAGGGTGATGAACAAGCAGACAAGCTCCCTGCCCTCATGGACATTACCTTCCACGAGGATATGGCGGTAGATTCTGGTGACTCCACTCTAGCAATAGACACTGAAAAAACTAAGATGGAATTTACCTAACCCTTTGATAGCTTAGGCTCTGCTGTGATCCAGATTCCACTCAGAAAACCCCCATCAGTGGGATTTTGAAGTCAGAGTAAAGATCATGAGGTAGATGTTGCATTTCTACTGTTCCTGCCAGAGGGTTAAGTATCACGTAGTCTCTTTAGCAAAGTCCCAGTAACCTGTCCCTAGCTTCATGTGTTTCAAGAAATAGAGATTCCCACTTTGGTGGAGGAGATGATGGTGTGACCCTAGAGCAGGCAGTGGTGGCATCAACTTCCCGATTTTGACCTTTGTACAGTGACCAACACAGAGTGGCCAATTCTCTTGTGTTGTTCCAAGCATTAGCTCAGAAGCTCTGCCTGTCCCCAGTTCCTGTAAGACTGCATATGTCACCTAAAACCAATGCGAACACCCTTCCTGCTTAAACCAGCTGGAATGGATTGTATTATCTGTTACTGACTCCAGAGCAATACAGGAAAACAAATCATAGAAAGATAAATTAAAAAAAAAAAAGGCACATATTCACTGTCAGAAGTGCTCTAAAAGGAGAGAGATGTAAGATGAGGAAAGGTTTTTCAGAGGGAGTCCTCCCAAAGTCTCCTTGAGGGAGTGAATTGAAACTAAGACCTAGGGAAGGGAGGGGCTAAGAGAAGGCAGGGAAAGAGATTTCTGGATCAAACAAACATCAGGAGCAGAGGCCCAGATTTGGAAAAGAGTTTGTTGTATTCCATCCTCAGAAAGACCAGCAGCATGATTGGAGATTGGGGACAAAGCGCATGAGATGAGACTAGAAACCCAAGGAGGTTCTACAGTTGCTCAGAGTCTGGCCCAGTCTGGTGCCAGTCTGCAAACCATTTGTCCAGGACCCATGAGAAGTCCAAAACATACAAGTAAATGTTTAGAAGTGTTGTAGCAGTTTGACGTTGTCATAGCAGTCAAGCAACATTTTTATCACATTTAAGAAAACGATCGCTCCACAACAGACTGAAAATTTGAACAAAAACCAAAACAAAACTGGTCCTTCAGCATAGAGCATTTGAGAAGTGTTGTTCTCCATGTCTTGCCTCTCAAATTTATCCGTGAAAGGCCAGATAATAAATGTTTCAGGCTTTGGGGGGCTATAGGTACTCTGTTGAAACTATACACCCCTGTCGTTGTAGCACAAAAGTGGCCATAGGCAACATGTAAATACAGGGGTATGGCCGTGTTGCAATAAAACTTTATTTATAAGAACAAAGGATGGGCAGATTTTGGCCTGTCATGCAGGTTGATAAACCAACCCAGTTTTAGGCCACAGTAAGGAGACTGTACTAGATTCGAAAGGCAATAAATTGGGGTGCCTGTGTGTCTCAGTGGGTTAAAGCCTCTGCCTTCAGCTCAGGTCTTGATCTCAGGGTCTTGGGATCGAGCCCTCCATCGGGGGGTCTGCTCAGCGGGGAGCCTGCTTCGCCCTCTCTCTCTGCCTGCCTCTCTGCTTACTTATGATCTCTGTCAAATAAATAAAATCTTAAAAAAAATAAAATAAAATAATAAAGGCAATATATCCATCTGTTTAACCATTGTATATTAATTATACTTCAATTAAAAAAACAAAACAAAAAAACCTTCCTGCTTAATTGAGACCATCCCTCACTCTTGCTCCCTACCCATCACGCCTGCAAGTATTTGTAAAGTCTTTGCTTCAGTGACTCTAAGTCAGAAACAAATCTCAGAGTTCCTCCTAGCCCTAATTCGGCATTCTCCTCATAGTGACCCAACCCTGGCAGGTTAAGTCTCTGTTAAAGGGCAGGGTCCCTTTTGTCTATTATCTGCATCCTCAAAGAATGAGGATGATACCATTCACCCTGTGTTGGCCTGATGAGTCAAACAATGGCCCCAAGGGGCCACAGCCTTACGTTCTCCAGGACCTGGTCAAACCTAGGTCCACATTGCCCTCTGAGTCATCAAGTCACCTCAGTGCCCGGTTCCCTGGAACACAGTGTCCCATTTTTTTCTTCTGTACAAAGTTAGATTTCTAAGTCCCAAAGTACTTCTGTGACCACTGCCCATCTGTGGCTTTTTTGGTATGTCTGAAACGGTTGTGTTGGACAAGCGGCCTGCCCCATGTGTAGTCTTGTTTTTCTCTGAGCTCAGACACTGCCACAGGCAGGAAAGCCTTCTGCATTCACACATGTCTCCCTTCACACAGCACCCACTTCATAAACACCACCCAACCCCCATACAGTAGAACGCCTTATTCTCTCTCCCACGTGGAGCATAGACCGCCGTGTGAGGAGGCGGACTCCTACCAGTAGGTCTCGCACACAGAGGGTACAGAGCTGAGGCAGTTCTTGCTGAAATCTCTTTTATTTAAGATTTCTTTCACTGACTCATGACAAACTTAATGGGTAAAACTTTGCTGTTGCAAGTTTCCTTAAAATATCCCTTCTGGGCCTACCACCGTTTATCTTGGCAACAGGTAGCTTGGAGAGTTTTGGAAAGTCTCAGCTTGGCAGAGCCTCAGAGCTACTGGCACATTAAAGATTAATAAAGCGCATTTAACTGAGCTCAGGACACTGCAACGTGATCCTTCACCGTGAAATGTGCAAGATTCTTTGTTTGCAATGAACAAAACTGAAGCCCCAAAGGGCCTACCGTGACAAGCTAAGATCGGAAACAATCAGGAACTTTGTGTGTCTTTCCCTGGGAAATTGATGGGTAGGAATCAATGTCTACACTCAGCCATACTCTCACTTAGCATTCTCAGGAATTTAAGATGGATATCCGCGAACGATGCACAGAGCGGGGCATTCAGTGAGCTTCCAGAACCACAGAGATAGTCCAAACGCAGCTGCCTCCTTAAAGCGTAAGAGAAGACGGACTCCAAACAAATTCCTAATCTGGCAGCTTCTCCAATCAAAGGAAAGATAAAGCAAAGCATTTGAAAACATTTCGGACTTGCTTGAGTAAAACAGAATGCTGGTGCTTGCCTGAACAGTAACCTAGGAAGAAGAAAACACTTTCTGCCTGCATAGGTACGGGGGCCGGCAGCGGAATGAGCCAGGGAAGGTTTTAAATGAAAATAAAAATTAAACAGTCCTGTACCTCCTAACTGCTGGTTCACCAGAGGAATCTCCCCGCTATCCATCTCGGGACACCAGGACACATGCAACAAATACTGGGGACAGACCCATGGAGGCAAACATTTAAAAATGTATCATTCTGAATTCTGGCAAAGTGCTCGCTGGCTCCACGTGCTGGGTAATGCCTTGTGTCTATTTGCACAGCAATCCCCTCACGTCCTCCAGAAAAATCCCAGGCAAACCCTGCACCGTGCACATCAGAGCTCAGGAGCCCAGCGCTAAGCACGGCTGACTCTCTTTCCTCTGCACCGACATAAATACTAAAGAAGAAATAAAAAAGGAAGAGAAAAGAAAATTCTGTCCTTACCGAAAAGGCATAGCAGACAGGGACGGTGAGTGTTTCACGTTAGCCCACTCAGTGCTTTCTCTTTCATTCGGTCAATGTTCTAAGGCTATTGATGAGCGTTCCCGGGGGTTCTTGGATCTTCCTTCAAGAGTTTTAATCACCGGCTTCCCCAGCCCGGGGTTTAACAAACACCGCTGTGTTCTGTCAATATTTGTATGCAGCACCACATTGGGCAACCAGCCAACGCACCGAGTTTCAAGAGGCAAGGGGAGAAAACTGACACCCTAACAAACATGCTTCCCTCCTTTGTGTCTTTCAAGGTGGCGCGCAAAGTGTCATCTTTGATTCTGACAAGAGCTAAAGATAGCCTCTTTTTGTGACTTTCTCCACTGCCCCCAAACGCCAGGCTGGGCTGCCCGAGTTGGGCTCTCTGCAAAGTTTGTTTTTTGTCTCCCTGCCCTGAAGTTCTCTGCACAACCGCCCGCCCGGCTTGCCTCTCCACCAGCTGCACTTTAAATGTATTTTAATTGGCTGGAATGTCGAAAGAATCCATTTGGCCGTCGTTTGCATGTGAAACACGCCCAGGGCAGCTGAAGGAGGCCCCCGAAGCGGCCGATTACTTCATCAAAAGCTGCAGTTTGAATACCATTGACTCCTACATAACTACAGTGAACTCCGTTCTATAGGCAAGAAGGAGTAATTAATAATTTGCTGAGAAAATTCTTCATTCATCTAAAAGCCAGAAATGCAAAAGAAAAAAAAAAAATCCATGCAGACACAACAGTTCTTATGAAAGGCTTGATTTATAGCCTCCCGTTCTACTCTTCACAAACATTGACTTTGTATAGCATTACAGGAGGGGTATAATGCATAATTCGGTTTGCTTGAAAAGTTAATTTAAGTGATTTTCCTTTTGAATGATCCCCTGAGATACATCGTTCTATTACCTCTTTGTACATTAGCCATATGCTACAATAAATATTGTCAATACTTGTGGCATTTCCTCATTCCCTGTATTTTTCTTGGTTGGTTGCAATAATTAGTTTGTGGCCTCCACTAGATCCAGTCACAAATAAATTCACTCTGAGTCAAAGCGGATAATCATCACTACCCAGAATTTATGAGCCGTACTGAAGTTTAAAACACTCAAAGACAAATGTCAGTTTAAACAGATTCTAATCAAGGGGGAAGGGGGGGCATATGCACATATACATGTATGTATGTCTTAAAAATAAAATAATGATAAGATGTATACAGTAATAAAGAAATGCAATAGCCTTTAAGTGGGTCTTTTTTTTTTTTTAAGATTTTGTTTATTTGACAGAGAGAGAGAGAGAGATCACAAGTAGGCAGAGAAGCAGGCAGAGAGAGGGGGAAGCAGGCTCCCTGCTGAGCAGAGAGCCCGATGCGGGACTTGATCTCAGGACCTTGAGATCATGACCTGAGCTGAAGGCAGAGGCTTAACCCAATGAGCCACCCAGGCGCCCTAAGTGGGTCTTTACCAATATTTTACTGAGAAGCCTTTCCAGTAGCTTATATAAACTGGGTTTACAGATTTAGGAACTCTGGGAAGTATATTTTGAAGAAACATCCTAAGTAACCTTGACCTTCACCCCTCATTAAGAACCCCTGATTCAGAGTCAGAATATCTAGGAAGATCTTGGCACTCTGAGGATGTCTCTCAATGGAAAATGTGAGCCAGAGAACATTGTCAAATTTGTTCTAATGCCTTTTCCTCACTTCAATAAAATTGTGGTTCATAACAAGACAGTACAAGAGAAAGAATGGTGTACACAAGTTGCTTCAGTCAATTTGCTGACGGCTCAGAGACTAAAAACACTTAATGGGCTTCATTTGCAGAAAGGCAGAGGAGCAGAAGATTAGGAGAAAGGATGGGGGGCACCTCCATGGGCACACAACCTGCACAGTCACACAGAGCCCCCAGCTCAGAAAGGACCTGCCCTTGGAGTAATGCTGTGTTGCTGCCATCTTGAAATCCTTCACTCTTGAGCCAGGGACCTTGCATTTTCATTTTGCATTGGGTCCAGCAAATTATGCAGCTGGTCTTGACACACATAGCATAAATCTATCCATTTCAACACATGTTTGGAATTGGAAAGCACTGGGAAAACCATACTGAGGGTGTGGCTAACACCCTGCTTTTGGCATGCCCAACATTCTACTTAAGATTTTGGAGCCACTGAGAGGATTGGGGAAGGTGACTTGGGAAGAAGACTCCAGCAAACACAGGGGGTGAAAGTGATATGGCAGGTTCTGACTGGTCTCCCCTGAGCCAATGGTTCAAGGTTTGGCTCTGTCACCATACTTCATTTTACTGTTTCAGAGAGATTTTTTTTTCCTTTCTCATATATCCATTCCCCAACTGTCATTCTGTGGACAAAAAGCTCCATGTATAACCATCATCCAATTTTAAATTATTCTAGAGCCTTGATTCAAGGTTTGACAAAATTAAATTCAGTTCCAAAGATTCAGGCATGTTTACCCAATACTGCAATGTCCAGTGGCTCACAAGTTACTGTCCCATGAGTCATCTTATGCTCCCAAAGGTGTCCGAGATCAGCCCTTACACCTGAATTTTCACCTGCCTTGGCCTTAACAGAAACTATACCAAAAAGAAAAAAAATATATATATATATTTTTTTATATTTTATATATTATTTTATATATTTTATATTTTTATTTTATATATTATATATATATTTTTTTTCTTCTAGAAAATAAGTTGTTCTTAGACATCAAATACTTAATGTTGCTGGTTCTTGTATATGTTAGCTGGACCTCTAGAACATTAACATTAACACCTTCCTCTGATACTGGTACTTAGCCAATGATACTCGTGCTTAGCGAGTAAAATAGATTCACGTTCTAGAAATAGAATTTAGATATCGGCTGGTCCAAACTATTATTTTTTAAAGGGATAATTAAGGCAGGAAATGATTAATGACTTCCTAGAAAGTCAATAAAACAACCTGTTCAGGTTGCACACTTCCTTTTGCTACACATGGTCCTTTGTTGGCCTGCCCAAGTGGTTCCCCATTCTGACTTGTCCACTATTCTCCTGGCTCCAGTCTACTTTCATTCCTCCAGGTTTATTTCAAGTGCCCAAGTCCTAACACTTTGTCTTACTCCATATGAACCACTTTCATCCACAGCCTGAGCATGCTGCTTCTATAAGAGTATCTGATCTACATATGACACGGCATAGCCTTCATAGAATAAGGCCACCTAGGAATTCTTGGATCTTTTGATGTAAGTTCTTCTCGGCCACTTAGAATGTTTTATTCTGTATCCTGGTAGAGGCAGATTTGAAAGTTCACAGTGTCCAAGGAAAAGCAAAGTGATCCTGTTTTAACTCCCTGCCAGAGCTTGTCAGCTTATGCTGCCCTTCTTTACCCATAATCTGAAGATTGGGTTTCAATAGGTGAGGAATTCCTTAGACTACAGTTGACCAATACGGGGCCATATAGGGGCATATGGTGAGTCATGGACACAAAGTAAGAAACCATGTTCTGGGATGCAAAACAATCCATTAGAATGATCTGATAGATTCTAGAAGTCATAGAAATGTCAAGGGTTAGAACCAGGAAGGCAAAGGGAAAGGTTCTGATGGAAGGTCTTAGTGCTACTGAAAACAAACCAAATGCCCATTGTGCTACTTTTCTTGCACTCACCCTGACAGGGCCCCAACTTACTCATGTGTCCATGGATAGCACTAAGACCACTAACGATAGGTATAGTAACTAAACCTACCACCCAAGATTAGACTATGCACATTCGTCCCACTCTTTAGTCATGGAAACAGTGAAGCCATGGAAGCTTGGAAAGCACTCAAAACCCCCATGACAAACCCAGGTCAGTCAGGCAGTAGGTCAGAATCCAAGAAGACAGATGAAGCAACAAAGTCCTGATTTCTGGCCAACCAGAAGACTCACACAAGGCAGATGGCCAAATCACTGAAAAAAGGCAAATCCCAGGTTTCTTGTTTCTTCAGGAAATAAACAAATCAAGACAAACAGCAAGTAGACTAATACTGTTTTTTAAAAGATGACCATAAAGGGTTTCTGCTTGGGAAAGCAGTATCCTTGTCTTAAACATGGCCAGCCCGTGGCTTAGGGACATTATTCACCAGGAAGTAAACAACCCAGCAAGAAAAACCAACAAAACATTTGATCTGTTCAATTCAATCAGACTGGTATTAATGGAGTTCATGCTGACTGAGCACAAGGTCCTGCCCAGGATCACAAGGCTGAGTGAGAAATCGTCCTAACATGGGGTTATATATTACTATGTTAGGGCTGTCATCACCACGTGCCACAGACCCAGAGGCTTACACAACAGAAATTTATTTTCTCACAATTCTGGAGGCTAGGTATCTTCAGGGTTGATTTCTTCTGTCTTGTAGGTAGCCATCTTCTCCCTGTGTCTTTACACGGTCTTTCCTCTGTGTATATCTGTGTCCTAATCTCCTCTTCTTGTAAGGATATGAGTTAGGGATGCCTGGGTGGCTCAGTCAGTTAAGCATCTGCCTTCAGCTCAGGTCACGATCCCAGGGTCCTGGAATTGAGTCCCACATTGGGCTTCCTGCTCAGCGGGGAGCCTGCTTCTCCTTCTGCCTGTTGCTCCCCCTTCTTATACGTTCTCTCAATCTCTCTCTCTCTCTCTCTGAGACAAATAAATAAATAAATTTAAAAAAATATAAGTATATGAGTGAGATTAGATTAGGGCCTACCCTAAAGACCACATTTTAAATTATTACCTCTTCAAAGATTCTATACCTAAATACAGTCACATTCTAAGGTATTGGGGTTAGGACTTCCATATACAAATTGGATCAAGGGGTTATAATTCAGCCTATAACAGGTGACTAGGAGGCCACTTCTCATTTACTCCAGAAGCACGTTACTATTGACCATTCACAGATGGGAAAATTTGGGCACAGAGAGATTAAGAAATCTGTCAAAGGAAGAGAGAAGAGCCCATATGATTCTAGAGCTCCAGGTCTTAACTCAACACCTAGCTATCTTTCCAGAAGCCAAGGTTGTTGATATATTTGATAAAAATGATTCCCAACATACCTGATACCCATGAGATGAATCTCATACTCCATGAGTCCCCAGAGCTTGGCCAACATAAGTCCAATTCATCAAGCATTTATCGAGCATCTCTCAAATAAGCCAAACTTCTCTGCTGGCTGGTAATTTCTCCTAAGAGATAAAAACAGTAGTTACAGGCACGGGGCAAATCATCAAATTTTGGAGAAAGATGAGCCTTAAGGACCTGGGGTTAATGCCTTGAAGTCTACTGAGGAGTGTCCCATGAATAAGAAGGGAGGCGGACAGCTGATGGAGATCCCTAACGATAACGTTCAGCCTTCAGGAGCCAGAAAACCAAATGTCAGCTCCTAAAAGTGACAATTATGTCTGAAGCTGTAACTTAGAATCC